AATCTGTGTCTGCAAGCACTCAATCATCTGGCAGGAGCAGGAGCTTTAATTGCTTCCTGGCTGCCATCAGTTCAGAGCAGGGCTGGAGCTGCTCGGGCACGTTTCGTGCAGGGGGGAGAAGGAAACTCAGGTTTGGCACCAGTGACTTCCCTGGCCCTGAGCAGATTTAGGGTGTCAGGCACAAGGCCCAGCAGTTCGGTGCCTCTGACCCAGAGGATGCTGAAGCTGGGACAACCACTCACACCCCCAGGACCAGCCTATTTATGTTCTGGAATGTGAATCCAGAGTCAGCCCCAGATCCCTAGCTGCTCTCCTTGGTGAGGATTTGTCTGCTCTGAGGTTCAGGGAAGTCAGCTTAACTTTTGCTTTGGGTTTTTGACAAAATCTGAGACTTTAACCTCAGCTTGCAATAAAGATGAACCTCGCTGACAGTATAAACACTATAATCAAACAGATTTTCCAGTGGACTGTGTAGAAATCCAACTGCAAGGCTCCACAACCTTCTGCATATCAACAGTAAAAAATAATGATGACTAATCAATAATATTTATTTGAAGGTCTATCAGGATCCCAAGTACAAGCCTGGACTGAAATCTTGGCAGAAATGAATTCAGTGACAGATTGCCTGCGGAGTTCAGTGCAGGGATGACTTCAGCGACAGATTTCAGTGGCTGGCATTCCAGAGCTGAGGCAAAAGCTAATAGCAGGATCAGCAGGAACAGGGGGTGTGCAGGGGACAGGACTGCTTCTCAAACTCTTCCTTGGTTTAGACCATATTTATGGTCTCATAAGCTCTCACAGCTCCCCTGTGCCATGCTGCAGGAGGAATGGGCAAAGAAAGTAACTAGTGCCAAGCACAGAAACTTTGAGCATCATTTCCTCCTCTGTTCCTGCCACATTTTACCCTCTCTCTCCAGGCATTGTGGCAATTAAAAACTTTCTTACAGATTGGTTGCTACTGTTCGGGGGGAAATACATTGGAACTGGAGAGAGAAAACCAAATTGCACCTTTTAATCCAAAACTGGATGTGAAAACTCAGCCACTGAGAGGGATTTCAACAAAGCAGAAAGCATAACATGGAAAGTTATCCCTGCAAGGTGGGGCACTGACTGTTCAATAGAAACTGGCACCAGGGCTGGCAGGTGATGAAGTGCCTGATCAGCACAGGAGTTGGGTAGCTTAGTGAGTCTTAAAGACCATTGTGAGACCAGTGGGCTTAATGCTCATTAATTTACTTGTATTTATTATATAAATTATTATGTTCTGTGTAAAACCATCAATAGTTGTCTTAATTATTTTGTATTTGAATAAAACCCAAGCATGACATTGTTCCTGAGCTAGTGCTAGGATTAATCTGGGCACAGTTTTGACCTGAAGCAGCGGCACAAGCATGTGCAATTAAACCTATTCAGCTTGGGAGTGCTAATCGTCTCCCCTCTGGTGTGAAGTGTTTAGTCTCTTACAATGCAGTGATTTTACTGATTTTTCCAGTGGCTGTGTTGTGAGATACAATACCCACTTCTGTAATAGACAAAGTACATTAAGACTGTTAGCATCAACTTCTGTTTCATTTTGTTCACTCTGTACACACAGGAGAAAAATAATGTCAAGACTCCTTTTTTCCTTCTTCCTCACTGCTTGAATTTTAGCTTTACCATCAATTTTTTTCACACAAACTTTGTAAACTCTCATCTTTCTTCCCCAGCTCTCTGTTGACAGCTGTCACACTGTGCAAACCACCAAGACAACCCTCCTGAGCTGAATGAGAACAAGATCTTGTCCATCATTCAGGACTGATTTCACACCCACTCTCATCCTTCCCCCCATTTTCTCAGCCCTGTCATTGCAGATTTTACCCCGAGGCAGGCAGTGGCTCCCTTCTGCTCCAGCTTCTGCTGCCACATCTCCCTTCCCTCCTGTTCTCTCCGCTACCCTAAAAACCTCTGCCTGCACCACCCCTCTCGTGCACTGAGTGTTTCTGCCTCCTGACACTCTTCTTTCTATACCCTCCCGTGCTAAATTCCATTTTCTAAACTCTTCATAAATGGTTTTCCATAGTGTAATCATGGACTGAGTATCAACATCATGGCTGGGAATGTTCCCAGCTGGAAACTCCTTGATATTGCTGCTCTTGGGGAACTCTCTGTCTGCCTCTATCTCCATCCCAACCTCACCTTTTCTTGTCTTCTGATAAGAATACAGAGCAAGATACAAATTTACTCACTTTCACCTGCTCCCAGAATTCAGGACAGGGAATGATGCCCAACAGCCTCTTCAGTTCTCCTATACGGATTCCAAGTCTCTGTGTTTGAGCTGTTGTGTCCTTTGCACAGATCTCCATGTTGTGTTCATTCCCTTCAACAACTATCAAATATCATTTCTATCTCCAGCTGCATTGTCATGTCCCATCACACTCATTTCCTCCAACCTTCAGTCTCTCCTGCTTACTCAAATCCAGCCCTTAGAGTAGGTCTGTGGGCTGTTCTTCTGGAGCTGCTGTATTTTTTTTGTATTAAGTGATGTATAAAGAGTAGTCAGTGGTATGGCACAAATAAAATAGTGTTGAAATAGGAAGGTGCTCAGGTCTGGGGCTGTGTATTTTAGGCAGGAGCAGGCTGGCTCAAGCAGCCATGAAGTTAATTGAGAGTTTCTGGATATGGTCCTGACTTAGCAACATTTCAAAAATGTTTCCAAACATACTTCAGTAATTGTGCCATCAGAGAAAAAATACCTACTCTTGGAAGGCAAAATGTTGTGATAGGAAAACCAAACCAGCTCTCTTTGCTTTCATTCCTTGAGACAGATTCCACATGCGTCTCTGAGAACTCTCAAAGGACCTCAGTTCTAGGGGCTCTTTAACACCAAAACACCAGCTTTGGTTTCAAAGTTTCATGTATTTCTTGGTTTTTTAATTTACGTTTCCGTGTAGAAAAAGAAAGACTCTGACTTCCTGACTCTTACGACCACTGATGTGAAATGCCATGGAAGCACCCAGTGAAACCTAGGTGGGACTTACAGTGATGAGCAAGGGATTTCTATGTCCCACCAATCCAGAAAGTCTCAAAGCAGCCTCAGAGACACAATAAAATGTCACTAAATTCTTCAGAAATGCTATTTCAGTGAATTGTGATAAACAGCATGTACAGATTGTCAGGACACCAGTCACTTGAAAATGCAAGAGATCCTTAAGTTACATGAAGTCTAAAGGATTGGTGATAACTTTTCTCTGCTTCTATACTTCAGGCAAGGAATCAAATGGACTTTCCTTTCTAGCATTGTGAGGCTGAATTCCAGTGTGTGTCACTGAGCCAGAAAGGGCATAAATGCTGAGGATGGAGGGAATTACACTTTATTTCATCCCCTAAGTGCTTGTGTCCTTCTGAAGTAACAAAAGCCATCCATCCGTTTCACTCCTAGAGGGCTTTCTTACTGTGCTATAGAATTTGTCCATTTGTTGAAGGCATCTTGAGCAGCGTCATGATCCACAAAGGAAGAATCATATGTGGGGTCTTGTCCTGAGCCAGTGTTCTGCTGCACAATGGAACGTCCAGTGTCTCTGCATGGGTGGGTGGGTGTGAACACACCTGCACAGGGCTCACCAGACAGATCACAGCCCCACCTTTGGGTGCTGGCCTGTTTTCAGGGTATTCACCCAAAACGTGAAGGCACATGGAGGGATTCTTGAGACTAGCTTGTGCAGGGCCAGGGGCTGGACTCAATGGTCCTGGTGGACACCTTCCAGCTCAGCATACTCTGCAGTTCTGTGACAAATTCAGATTTTAGAGTGTGGCAGTGTGTGAATCACACAGCTCCTGTGTCGCCTCACAGAATTCCCTGATCAATGCCACTGTCCCAGTCCATGGCAGCTCTGGCAGCGGCTGTCCCAGCGAGGTTCCCACATGGCCATCGCCTCACACGACGCCTCCTTCCCTCCCTGGGCTTGGGCCCCGCCAGCCCCGGCCAGGCTGCGATGGGCACAGCCCCGGGGTCAGTCGGGACTCAATGGCTCCACTGGTGCTGCCTCCCTGCTCCAGCAGGACCAGGGGCAGCCCAGAGCACGTGGCACTGGACTGTGTCCAGAGTGTTCTGGAACAAGACTCCACTCCCTCTCCGGTCTCTGCTCAGGGCTGGGCACTGCTCAGGGAAGTTCTGTCTCCTGTGCAGAGGGAATTGCTGGGCTCAGTCCCTGTCTGTTCCTCTGGTGCCACTGCTGGGCCTGGAGAACCTGGGCACTGCTCTGCACCTCCTGCACCCAGGGACAGCGAGGGACAGTGAGGGACAGCCAGGGCTGAGGGCCCCTCTCAGCTGGGGCTCCTCTCCAGGCTGAGCAGCCCCAGCTCCCTCAGCCTTTCCTGGGCACGGAGATGCTCCAGGCCCTTCAGCACCCTCACAACCTGCGACGGAAGGGCACGGCAGGCCCGGGCCGCCTCGAGGCCGGGTCGAAGGCCCGTCGGGCCTGGGTGGCAGGGCGGGCCGAGCCAGGCAGGAGGGCCAGGCCAGGCAGGGCCGAGCAGAGCAGGGCAGGGCAGGGCAGGGCGGCCCGCGGGCCCGCGGGGCCGGGCCGGGCGCGGCCCTGAGGCGCCGCCGCCGCCGCACGAGGCCCGCGCGCGCTCCCGGGGCCGCCCCGCGGTCACGTGCGCGCCCCCCACGGTCACGTGTCCCGCCGCGCTCGCGCCCCCGCCCCGGCGGCGGCGGCCCCTCAGGACGGGATGTAGTCCCGGCCGGGGGCGCGGCGGAGGGATCCCCGCGCCGGACCCAGCCGCAGGGCGCGGCGCCTCCTAGCGGGACCGGGGTAGATCCCGCCGCCGCCGCCATGGCCGCGGCCGCCCCGGTGCGCCCCGCGGGGGCCCCCCCGCGGCGGGGCCGTGTCACCGCCCGGTGCCGCGGGCGCGGCGGGGCCGGTCCCACCGGGACCCCCGGGGCTCCCCCGCCCCCCCGGGGCGCGGCCCCCTCCCCTCCCGCCGGACAATGAGTCCCGTATGCTAATGAGGGTCTGGCGTCACTTCCGCTCTTTCTCGGCCGCCATCTTGGCCCGGGCAGGCTCTGGGCAGCGGGACCCGGCTGTATTGTCTGAGGGGCCCGGGCGCTGCCCCCGCCCGCGCCCCCGCCCCGGGCACCCGGCCCAGTCACCGCCGCCCCCGCCCCCGGGGCCGCTCCGCACCGCCCGCCCCGCACACTGCACCCCCCCCGTCATTTCCCCCTTTGTCTCCCCCGCGCCGCCGGCGGCTCCGCTCCGCCCGCCCGCCCCGGGACCGGGCGGCGCCGGGGAGGGTCCGGCGGCCCCCCCCGCCCCAGCCCGCCCTCGCTGCGAGGAGAGCCCGGTCAGGTAGGTGCGAGCGCGGGTCCGCGGTGCGACCCGGGCGGGGACAGCGCCCGACCGCCCCCTGCCTCCCCCGGGCATCCCGCGCCGTGCCCGCCGCCCTGCCCGCCGCACCGGGCGTGCGGAGCTGGCAGCGGCCCCTCCCCGCCCGCACACATGTTGAGGAGCCCCGGCGGCTGCGGGCACCGCGGCGCTGCTCCCTCGCCGCCGCCGGCCCCGGCCGCCTCCCTTCCCCACACGGACGTGTCCCGGCAGCCCGAGGGACCGGGACCGCGAGCCGCCGGCCGTGTCCGGCATCCCGGTGTGCAGCTGCACCGGGCCCCGCCGGCGGAGTTGGTGCTGAAGCGGCGCCGGGGATGCGATGAATGGGAACAACCGAGGGGACCCTGCCCGCGGGAAAAGGCGGGATCCGCCGCTGCCATCCCGAGCCGCGGCTGCGGGGATGGAGCGCCGTTACCTCACCCATCCCTACCCCGGGCTACAGTTACCGGCACCCGTTTCTCAGACAAAGGCGGGGGACGCCAAACCCGGAGCCTGGCAGCCGTACCGGACAGACACCCCCGTGGCACGCACCCCCTTCTCCCGGCGGCCGCAGCCCGGGCGGGGGTTCCAAAACAAGTGGCAGTGCGTGCGCGGAGCCGGGGTGTCCGCGCAGTCCCCGTGCCTCCCGGCAGCGGCCGCGGGCGTGACACCCCGGCCCCCCCGCATCCACCGCAGCCCGGCCGGGGCGCTGCGCGGCGGCAGCCGGCAGGGGGCGCCCTGCGCGGCGGGCACCGCTGCGGCGGGAGGGGGGGCCGGGGCACCGGGCCGGGGCCGGGGCCGGGGCACTGCTCGGCCGCGGATCGCGGGGCCGGGCCCGCTCTGCGCACGCGGCTGCAGCCCCCGCTGCTTCGTCTGGGACCGCGGGGCAGAGCCCCCGTAACAGGGCGCTCGCAGCCGTTGCTGGTCGGTGTTTGTTGGGTGTATTTGAGCCGTTTGGTAGGTGTCAAAGAGGTTTGCGTTCCTTGTAGAGAAATTCCCCTAATTCTTAGGTTGTGGGTTTTTTCCTAGCTACGTTTCTATTTATTTTTGCTGCTATTTTCTATTTCTGTTTGGAGGTGTGAGGTAACGGAGGCAGAGGATTCCCGCCTGTCAGGGTAGCATGGACCGACCTTAGCTGGCTGCTGTGCAGCTCAGCCCTGTGTGCCCCAGCACTGCTCCCTCCTGCAGGGTCTCCTACTCGGGAAAACTTTCGCTTCAGGACTCTGCGAACTCATAATCACGAGTTGTCATCCTTCTAGGTGAGAAAGATGGATCAATCTGCTAATAAACAGAAAAACCTTTTTTTCCCGCTTTTAGTAACAAAGCAAAGCTTGGTTCCTTTGCAGATGTGCAGTTGCAGGTGTTGGGCAGTAATTTGATATCAGTAGATGGATATGTACCATGATATGTGCTGAAATCTTAAGAGACAACAGAAGAGAAACACCGTTGTTCAGAGAATTGCACCAGATGCTGATGGGTTGTAACATAATGGTTACCTTTAAGATTATTACAGCAAGTACTTCCATCCAACTTCAGTCTAAATAGAGATGTCCTTTTTGACACACAACAAATAACTTGTTCTCCAAAAGTGATACTGAGCTAGATGTTTTTGCACTATTTTTGGTGGTTAGCTGCCCTTTGCTCAACTTAGTATTATTTCTTAGTTAGCATTCAAGAGTGACTTTTTGGTATCCAGTAGACATGAGATGCTCCCAGGGGACATCTGTGAGATCATTGAAAACTGATACCGTTTTGCAGCCCCATTACCAAAAATAATTGTTTTGTTTTGAATTGAAGTGCTGGTCCATCAGGCAGGTTTGTAGAAGGCATCTCTTTAGGTTCCCACTGTTTGTGCTTCAGAGTGTATTGTTCTGAAGAGCCTGCAGTTCACTTGTGTTAGGCTGTGGGAGGGGATGTGGATGTGCAGCAGATGGAAGGTGAAAGGAGATTCCTTTGCCTGTAGATGAGACAGACAAGTGTCACAGATGGGAATGAAAAGTCTTTACTGGAGAGGAACTTCCTGAATGTTTTGGAAAGTTCATGCCCTGCAGTGTTAGGCATCAGCAGCACAAACACAGCACCCAGGAAGGTGTGTGTGCTCCTCAGGCTGAGAGGGGGAACTTGATGGGCTTTCTGTGTTTGTAGGGCAGAAGTTGCCAGTGGTCAGAAGTGCTCCCTGTCACTGACACAGAGGTCCCTGCTATTGCCACAGCGTGTGGGTTAAGTGTAAACTCATTTATTGGTGCTGCCCAGAGTCCCTGTGCTGTTCTGAGCTCCCTGTGAGCTCTAGGAAAATTCAGGCCACGTGTTCTGGGGCAGGTGAGTTCTGCTCACACACTGCAGGGTGAATAATGGGTGATTATTCCCAGCTCAGCTTTACCACTATAATAACATAAATACTGAAAGTAAACATTGAAGTTTACAGTAGAATTCCTGGAATACGGAAACAAATCAGAACCTTATCAGTAGTCATAAGTTATACAGTCCAAATGTATATTTTATAGCTTGTTATTAAGATGGAAGCTGATTTGATTGATGCAAAGAAAGAAATTGAAACAAGTGATTTTGTGGAGGCGAAGACGGTGCTCCTGGGTTAATGTGTTTCTTTTGAGGTGGCTGAAAATAAGATTTAGCACCTTAATAGGAAATGTATTGGGGTGGTTTTTGTGGGGTTTTGTTTTCAGAAAGGGAAAGTTACCTTTGCTCCAGTACTTGAGATGTTTAGGGGAGACAAAATTCAGTTGGTAATGAACAAAGCAGTATCAGATATGAGGAGGACCAGTTTAAGACTGTAGGGGAGGTGCCAGGAGAAGCAGGGAACAGCTCTGGGGCTGCAGCTGCTCAGTGTATTCTTTCACAGGTGCCATTGAAGCTGCTCTACCTGCATGGGCAAAATTGAGGAATTTTTAAAAGTCATTAGTTCAACTGAGTTTGTATATTAATAATGCTACATTTAGTGGGATTATTTTCTTTAAGATGCATGCAACATGCTTTTTAAAAAGGCAACAGCTGACCATGCTGGCCTGTATCTAAACAAGCATCACAGGATTTTTTTTGTTATATTGAGTCAAGAGCTGCTCTGTGCCCAGAGTTATAGATATTTATATAGGGTATGGTTCCTATGAATATAACTGTAACAGGATAATTTTTAATGTGGAAGTAGTTCTGCTTATATAAATAAATCTGTTGCTAGAGGTGTTTATTGATAGTGTAAGAGATGGAGATGGCAATGAAAGGTGCTGCTCTGAGTCTCTGCATTAGAAGAAGAAGAACCGTTGTTGCTGTTAATCTAGTTTTATTAAAAATAAATCCTATACCTTCAGTATATGTGGGAGGTTTATTTTGCCTCACACATTTGGGAAGAATGCCTTAGTTTTCCTGGGCAGAATGGCCAAACTGGCCTGTTCCTTTTGAGCTTTCAGGAAGAACTTAAGTGTGGTTTAAAAAATCAGATGTGTGTTCCAGATTTGAATAAAGGCTTCTTGGAGAGGGTGTAACTCCTGTTTATCTACCTGAGGGCCATGTGCCTCAAGGCAAGAACTGCATTGTTCAGAGCTTCACTGCAGCTCTGGTGTCAAAAGGTAAACAGGAGCTTGTATTTAGTGTCTCTGATTTCCCTGTAGTGCTCTTGAAAGTGAATGAAGGTTGATGGTTTGGAGTAAGAATGGAGTAAATACCATTTTTTCTGCAGTGAGTCACTTTCAGTTACTGCCATTTATATCCTTACTGGTTTTTTGTTGTTTTTTTTTTTTTTAAGGTGGCATTAAAGATTATTTAGATGAAAACTGACAGTGGCTGTTGAGTCCAAGGCCTG